AGGTGGAGGTAGTCTTTCCCTGGCTTTATGGTGAGATCCGGCGCCGACCTAGAGGGATTTTTCCACAACCAGCTATCTCCCAACAGCGGGGCACCGCCCCAGCCGGGACAAGCTCTAAGCTCCTGACAGGTCTTCTGGCATGTGTGCTTTAGTACTGCGTGTTAGTGTGTGTGTATAAGGGGAGAGGATAGGGCAAGGAAGAGTTAAGAAAGATCGCGCGCGCTCCGTGGTCCGTTTGGTAGGGTACTGCTCCAGCATTCGCCTGGTGTTGATCGGAGAAATAACGGAAAACCAACGATCAGAGCAGCCGGACTCTAGAATTCTCATCCAGACAGCAACTGAATTCGACCTGGCTGACAAGCTAGTGTTGAAATCCTGCGACCGTAGGGTCTCGAACCTTGGACCTCCATGTCAGAACGACTGCAGTGATATCAGTTGATGCCCTGATCCATCTCTCCCGGTCTGTTTTTAAGATAAGGGCGTTTAAGCGCTAATTTAATTCGAAATTCGAAAGTTTCTTCTCACAAAGGTTTTGAGATTTTGAATATCTTTATTACAAGTCATATGAAACACATCCACTCACAAATACAATAGTGTTTATAAATAGCTGGAAATGTACATACGAAGGTTGCCTTTTATGTTTCGGGATTTGGCAACTCTGGTCGAATTTCACTCCAAGAAGAATTTCGCGAAGATCGTTCAAAATCAGTTGTTCCGAAAACCATTGATGCTGTGCGTGAACTGATATAGCAAAATCGTCATGTGACCTATCGTGAGATTGAGACAACCTTAGACATTAGTAGGACCAGAATATTGCATGAACATTTGAAAAAAAATTGTTCGCGTTGGATCCCACACAATTTGTCAACCGCTCAAAAAAAGGTTTGTGTCGATTGGTCGGAAGAAATGCTCCAAAAATACGATCGCGGTGCTTCGAAACACGTCTATGACATCGTAACAGGTGATGAATCGTGGATTTACACGTAAGAGCCCGAAAGTAAACAGCAGTCGACTGAATGGGTGTTTTAAGATGAGCAAAATCCAACAAAAGTTGTTCGCGCACGAAGCACTTCCAAACTTCCTACGTCGCGAGTTTTTTTTTGGAAAAACTTGACATGTCGCAACCGTACCACTAGAACAACGCAGAACAGTCAATTCTGAGTGGTACACAATGATTCTGTTGCACAGTGTCTTGGCAAGCAAATCAGGAAACACCGGCGAAAGATCACTCTTAACAACACGGATAGGGTGGTCAGCGACGTCTTTCACAAATCGGGCTGCAATAAAACTGATTGTTTGAGCACCAAGAACATTGGATTTGATTGATTCATATGTCACGCCGTATATGTACTGATTGGCAGAGACGCGAATGACTATCTTTTTATTCGGGTGATGTAAGAAACAAACAACATGAGATGGTTACGTTTTTCGACACCTGAAGAAAGCGGTTGCCTGCATTCAGGAATGGAATAGTTTCGGAGGATAGACTGCAATTCAGCAGTGGCAAAGTGCTTCGACATTTGTTCAAAAGTATCGAAAAGTGTATAGGAGTTTCATGACAGGAATACTTTTGAAAAACATAAGTGAATTTTACGATTATTAAGTATTGTTTTTTGTTTCTACTCTGAATATAAGGCCGCCTCGTATCACCAGCGTGGAGATCTTTGAAAAAATACATTTGTGTAAATTTTGAAGGAAAGAAAAGAACTACGTCTTGTTAAACAGTGCAATTGACACTATTCGTTCGATAAGTTTGGAGGAAAAAAGTGGGGTTGGTTTTGAGAAAATACCGAAATGCTTAGTTTCTGAAAATGCGGAATGTTGAGCTAGTTTTCATAGAAAACGGTTGAGGTTTCTGTGAAAGTTTGAGAAACCTTATATGACATTATTTAACGCCTATGTTCCTTAATATAATAAAGTGAACAAATTGCCGTTAGTATAAATACTCGTATTAACGACTTGAGAGACAAGTAAAAAACGTACATTGTAATTTTGGAAAAAAAAAAGAATAGAGTAATATGGCCTTTACATTATCTTATAAAGTTCGTTTAGTACTATCAATACTGAAAGATTAAAGAAACAAATTTAAAGCCGTTTTTGAGAAACTGATTTTTTGTGTTTATTTTATTGTAAATAATGCACCCAATATTGCTCAAAAACTACTATTTTTTAAATGTACGTGAACTTATTGAAAGAACTGATTTATGAACAACAAATTTTATTTGAAAGAAAAATCTTTATCTTAAATTTTATAGTTGTAGGAAGACGTCAAAAATTCAATCTTTTGCAATTTTCGAAAATTCAGCGTTAACCGTGATTATCTGACCCGTGTCATTTTTCTAAGAGTATTTTACTCTATTCTTACATGAAATTTAAAGAAACAAATTTGGAGCAGTTTCTGGGGAAATTTTGAAAAGTGTCCAGGTGGTTTCATGTAAAGAACCCCCAAATTTTGAAGAATATTTTTCCAAACCTGGAACCTTCGAATCGAGCCAGATGGACAGCGATTTCTTCAATTTGGGAAAAACCTACGTATGGTTTAGCCTGTAGTGGTGGTCACAGACGGACGGACGTTTGCCGTCAATTGGCTTTTCGATATCAAGGACCCACAAAACGGGGATTCTGGCTACAGCACGTGTTACAGGATTTTTTAATTTAGCAACTGGATTTATCCACTTTTTCGTACAGCATTACATAACTTTCCCTATACTACGTATCTACTCCGCATATACGTACGTATGTGTGAAAGAAAAATTGTAAAGTGAAATGTATAATCAGTTACAGTTCTTACATGCTATCTCAGCGACTAAGCCCAACACGCCTGCGAACCGCTAACTGCGGCGTTTCCATGAATCCCGCCCGCAGCGACGGCTTGTGCAGGGCCCCTGGCTGAGCGCGGCGGAGGAACGTGTTCCTTCCGAGAGGGAGTCGCGCAATAACAGAAGCCCAGCGCCAGCACAACCGCCGCCGACGAGAAAGCGAGCAACACACACCCGCCGCCGCCGCTCGGGCGGCCCGGACCGCGACGAATGCCGCGACGGGACACGCCGGATTGAACTGCGACAGAATCCTTTTGTTAGCGCCGGCCGCGCGCGCCCGGTTTACAGAAACACCGCCTCCGCGCGCGCCGGAGGCAGCGGCTCCTGCGCGGCGGCGGCGGCTGCTGCAACGTCGTCGATGACGTCACGGGCTGCTGGAGCGGCGCCCCGGCCTGGAGCGGCGCGCGGTTTCTCTGAGCGCCCGCCGCCGCCCCCCGATTATCCGCCTGCGCGCCAGCGGGTGTTGAGAATCGCGCCCCGTATAAATGGCCGCGACGCGCCTCGAAGCGGCGTCAGTCATCCCCCTGCGGCGAACCCCGAGCTTCCCGGAGCACCCGCCACTGGAGCCATGGCGGCCAGCAAGGTAGGTGGCGTTTTCGGTAGAAAAGAATTCGGAAACCAATGCCGATCAGAGATTCTTTATATTTGAAGCCTTTGGTTAGACTTAAGCTACTTTGGGTCGAAATTAAGACAATCCTACTAACGTACTCGCCACATCGATTATCACATTTTGTGTAAACATTCAATCACCAATTCAACAACAAATCACCTTAACAAAAAAGGCAAATTAATAAAAACGTTGGACTATATTAAAACGCTCTGTCTATTCATCTTACGAGGTAACGGACGTAGGCTCTGGAACTCAGTGATTAAATTATTTTAATGTGGAGCGCAATAACTCATACACACAAATCGAAAAAAAGCGTACTTGGCTCACAAAGTGATTAAAAGGGACATACGTTTGAAATCAATGATTTCATATTTTCTCTTTTCATGCATGGGATGCATGAGTCACGGAAGATCCCGTTTATCACAAATACTTGGCTTTGACAAGAAAAATTAAGAGTCTGGGTTGTTCTAGTATAGTATAGTAGTGGAAAATGCCACAAATAATTTACAGAAATCGAAAATATAGCTTTTCTCGTATAAACAGCTCTTGTAGCAATGAAAGTGTCGTCCTCTGGAGCAATCCAAGCACCTGGGCCTCATTAATAGAACACACACATATATCGCACATTAAATTATACACATCTTTGTTAATATACGTTTAATTTGTTAATAATATATGTTACTGGGTTCCGGAATTAAAGGTGGAAGTCTTTATTACAGCTTCTTGCAACAATTCATGAAATAAAAAGAATCGATTACGTTGAGAAGCGTAGAATCGATTTTCGTTGCTCTACTTCGAAAGTGAGGAGTTGCCAGTTCTCTAGTCGCTAATTGAACACTGGCATTCATCATTACGTGATCTTAACAACTGAAATTTCGCAGGCGTTTTAGAATATTTTGATACAAAACAATGAACGAAGAAAGTCAAAATACAATTCACGTTCCCTACTTAATTATCACAGCTCCTTTTGTATAAAACCAAGAAAAAGCATTCTCCAAGCAGACTTCATTGGCTTACGTGCAGGTTATGAAAATGAAATAAGAAAAAGCTGACATTATGACAGGTTCCCAAGTGCCAACACAAAGCGATTTTTATATTTATTTTTTTATTTTATTATTTTATTTATTTATTGCGTCTTTGCAACACGTTTCAAAACTTTCTGGGCACTGAGCGCCTGCAGAATTCCTCCTTGAAGTTTTTTGGCTGACTCGTCATGTTGCAGTCAGTGACTTTTTCCCCTTCGGACAGGGACTCAGCGCCATTTGTAACTGGGGATCCCAGACGAAATGTAGTTGAGCAATTCGGCTAACGACGCTGGCTTGTGTGGCTTGTAACAAACACACGAAAAAAATCCTCCGTTTTCCTTGCAAATTCAAAACCATTTATAAACTCTTGTTTTCAGATTGTGGCCCTCATCGTAGTCGCAACGACCCTTCATGCTTTCGTCGGTGGCTCTGGACACGGGCACGGAGGAGGCCATGGAGGTGGAGGAGGTGGCCACGCACACTCCTTTCAGTATTTCCACGGTCCAGTAGTGGGAGACCATCGCGAAATACACGTAGAAGGAGGCCATGGAGGCGGGGGCGGGCACGGCCATGGTCACGGAGGCGGAGGCCACGGAGGTCATGGAGGCCACGGAGGCGGGGGCCACGGAGGTCACGGAGGCGGAGGTGGAGGTGGTGGAACACATATTGACTACGTGGTGAGTGTTGTTACCCAACTGTGAATGGCGTATACCAAAAGGGCGGAAATCCGAATTCCGTTGTGCCGAGCATTAAGAATCTCCTGCCAAATGCCCTTCCTTCCATTACCAGTGAAAGATTCCCACCCCGAGAACCGGGCATAAAAGAAAAGATCAGGGACATATTCCGGCATCTTAAAAAGAAGGGTGATGCAAAATGGCAAATCCTTTCTCGTTCTGGAAGCTACTTGTTTTTTGCAGAGCCAATCTTTTTGGTTTTGCCCTAACCCCTCCCAGGTGCCGTCTATCGGCGCCTAAAAGACTTAGTCTTCCCGCGGTAAGTACTGTTCCCCTGGGGAAAGTCTGAGTAAAACATTCCTTCGAGTTCTCTGGATACCTCGCAGAGGTAGCCCTTACGCTCATTTCGGTTCCGTAACATTTATGCTTGTCGTAGCTCGTGGGGCCAGCTTGTTATTTGTACCACTGTTCTGGAAGTAGGTAACATTTACGCATTAAAGCAGATTGGGCACAGATCTAACAGATAGTCACATGTCAGGACATACATAGTCAGGGCAAGGGAGTATTTGTCCACTAACGATCTGAAAGGTTAAAAGCGACCTAATCATAAATATAACTTCATAGGATACAAAATATTCCAAACATAGGAAACTCCATTGCTTTAGTGCATTGTGAATCACATTAATGTAATACTTTTTAATACGATGAATTATTTTGCAAACTGCATGTACTACGTACGCGTTACGTATACATATTCCACTAATTTCAATTTAACCAGAAACTTCTGTATTAAATGAAACGTGCTTTCCATTCCATGATGATTCTTAGACAAGGAAGACTCGAATCACATAAACTTGCGTATACATCGCTCTACATTCTATCATCGAATGCCGTTCATTTGGGATCCATATCGTGTAGGTCATAAATACGTTGAATAAAATAAAAACGTCGGAAAAAATACGTAATGCGATGAAAACAAATTCAAATAGTTCCATATGAGAATCTTATTATTCCTCTAACTCACGACTAAAGATATTATGAGTTGATTGAGTCTGCTCCGGGCAGCAAACAGCTTTCTGAGGAGCAAATATAGGGTTTGTCAGGGCCTCTACAATACTTTGTCAAATCGGCGCTGTTCCCAATAATGCAATGTCTTGCACTTCCCATTCTTTTCAATGACCTGGGAGTTTTAGGCTAAGTTCTAATCCAAATTTTGCGGAAGAAATCCCAGAGCTCCGATAAATATCGGGACGAGATGCTCTTTTACGTCCACATTCGGCTGATCTCTATTTCCAAACGTTTGTATTTAAGATGTTTCTATAGGTCCTTGCTTACTAAGTGTTAATCGCGAGGCACAGCAACATTCACAACTAGGCATTTTTTCTTCAAATCCGGATAACAATATCCGGTTTGTTTTCTGTTGTCGTGCGATCAGTTCGAATTCGTTTGTCGTATTGTACACAGTCCAACAGACGTCACCGACTTTGGTGAGATTTCGTACCATTTGGAGCATGTCTCTGGAACTTTGAGAGTAGTACAGATCTGCCAGAGAAGGAACCTGCACATCCTGTCAAATGCGGCAGTTATCATCTTGGGAAATTTTGATGACCGCTTTATCACAATAGGGTGTTTTCAAAACCAGCTCTTGGGCTGCTATTACAACAGCTTCTGATTCTGGCTTCATTCTCCCCCTTTTAAACCACATAAATGATTGATCTTTATTGATCTTCAACTTATTTTCAGATATTTTCCATAGAGTAGTTTGTTTCTCTACGATCTTTAACATTTTTGTGTCACACATTTCATGTTAAGTTGCATCAGAATTCAGTATCGGTGTGGCATTATCGTCTTCACAATGCTTCTTGCAGTACTTACAATGCCTTTTTCCCATTCTTCGGTCAGATTTAATGATCTTCCTCAGAAGTGGAGTCATCTGGATGACTGATTACATACTTTTCCATCCCGACTATTGCATTGTGTCAGGAGGTTTCAATTTGTCTGAACTCTCTTCCTCCGTTCTTACGTGACACATTAAGCCTATTTACATCAGCTCGAGGGTGGACGCCACAATGCATTGTAATAATAATAATAATAAATCAATGTTTCATTAATGGCGAGGCTCGGCATAGGCCTGCTATTCCGCCCTAACCACTGATTTACATACATTTAGAGTAGTAACATTTTAAGAGGGGAGGCAAGCTGTACATTACGTCGGGACAAACCTAGGAGATCCATCCCGGGCATACGGCTTAAGCGATTGAGTAAACCAGAAAAACCTCCACAGGATGGGGCTTAGGGCCCGAACATTATACGAACTGAGTATGTTATACTGAGTAGGATGCAAGGGATTTCGTGAAGAGAAAAAAAAGACTTACAGAGGAGGTGTCAAAAGTATAATGATAAATTTGTGTAGGGAGAGGGAGAGAAAAAAGCGAAGAAAGGACGAAGAAGAAGTAGGCGAAAAGTGAAGTTATTTGAGGAACGTTACAGAAAGCTGTTTAGTTTACAGTAGCCACTTTAAAACTATACATAATTTTTTACACCAGAGAAGCCAATATCACTATAAGCTAATACAAAAGTATATTGTTAAACACAATTTACTGGCAGTATTAAGAACAATACACAAGAGTGCGGGTATCTTAACATCAATTTGTTTATCATATATTGTTGTGATATCCTGATGATGGTACAAGATAGCTACTAATGATATTTTATCTGGAAGTCCTAATATTTTGTATATTTAATAACAATTTATTAGGGTACACAGACGAATAATGATGCTCATAATTAGATGTGAGAGAATGGAGATGAGGAATAGAGCAATGAGGTATGGGGTAGAATATTGAGAATAAAGAGGGGGAAATAGAAGGTTTTTAAGGGGGGAAGTAAGCAGGTTTTAGAGTTTTTGTTGCTATATTATTATTATTATTATTATTAATATTATTATTATTTTATTATTATTATATTATTATAATATTATTATATTATTATTATATTATTATATTATTATTATTATTATTATTCTTTTATGAGTATTATTGATGATGGTATTGTTGCACTTCAAATCTCTCCGAGTGAAGTAAACTTCTCGTGAAGAAAATTTCCTAATATGATATAATACACAATTGCACGGTTTCAAATATTAAGAACAACAGGATAAATATAACTAAAAAATCATTAAAATATACTTCGATAGAATAACTATGTTTTCTTAATATCAACAAGGTGTTAAAATAGAAAGCGTGTTCTCAACCAAGTGCTTTTCTGCAGGCTCATCCCAAGTACGAGTTTGCGTATGGCGTCGTGGACCACAAAACCGGAGACAAGCACGGCCAGAAGGAGTCCCGCGACGGCGACAAGGTTGTGGGAGAGTACACTGTCAAAGAGCCTGGCGGCAACGTGCGCACTGTCAAGTACTACGCCGACAAGAAGGGAGGATTCCACGCGCACGTGCACAACAGCGGCGGCAACGACCATTCCGGCGGCACCTATGGTGGTCACGGAGGCCACGGCGGCGGCGGCGGCGGCGGCGGTGGTCACGGAGGACATGGCGGCGGCGGCGGTGGTGGTCACGGAGGACATGGCGGCGGCGGCGGAGGCGGAGGTCACGGGGGCCATGGCGGCGGCGGAGGCGGTGCCGGGCACGGGCACGGCGGACACTACAGTGGATATTAAGACGACAACGCCTCCGTAAAAGACTAAACTGTTCTACTTCCTTTAAGTGACTGCACAGTAGGTGTGATGGTCCTAATTATTTCGTGGATTTTTGCAGTTATGATTGCAGGACAACTTTTGCTGACTGACTTTTTTAAATCTATGACATGTGCGCAAAGATAAACAATATTAACCAATGTCGGTATTTATTATATAGTACTGGTGTTTTGCGCGACGAACGACAAGTAAACCTACGAGAAATTGTCACACCTTGTTCGGCAATCTGCGATTTGTTAAAATAATTTCAGTATTTTAATGTTTGACATTTTTGTTATTTTAGATGGTATATTTGTTACATTTTATTTATGTTTGTACAATGGTAATAAATCAATATTAATGACTTCGTTTTACAATTTCTAACTATGACGATCGTACATGAATTCGTAAATGGTTGCACAAATATCTATAGAATTGCACAAATACATCGAGTTAGAGATATATATCTCTAACTCGTTGCACAAATATAAACACAGAATTGCACAAATTTCAAAAGAGGTACGCTGGATTCTTAATCGTTTAGGAAAATATTCACAGTTTAAAACGTTTAACACCACTTTTCACGTTACAGCCTACAGCTTGTTCATTTCGTCCGTCATTCCATAAACTTGTAAATCCTGTTTTTTTGTATGGCGATCCATCACCAGAGGGAGTTGGTGTGTTATAGAAGAATGTGGTGTCGCCATTAAAAATTCAAATGTCTAGTGCCACAGACATCATCGATTATTTGCGGCATTACATATCTTTCTCAGTAGCTTTTACGTATGTGAGAAAGAACTTCACGTACGAGTACATTCAGAACGTACATTATCACCATTAGTTACGGTTATGTTATACTACTAATAGCACAATTTCTCTTCGAACTATTTTCTGTAAAACTCATTGAAATCGTAGAACATTTTATGCAAAAATTAAGCAGAATGCCAGAAAGAAAACAATTCAAAATTAGTAAATAATACGATACTGATAGCGTTCGATTGAATAATATATTAAAGTAATTATTAAACACCATGATATTGTAATATTGTACAAATACATACAAGTATTAGTCCTTATTTCCGCGAACAAAAACAGTACCGTTATCTCGTTATCTGTGCGGGTTTACAACAATGGGTAACAACAACCAACAATAACCCCTCACCTATTGGTTTCCACAATTAAAGGAGGCAATTTAAAATTAAATAACAAGTATATAATAAATAATAATAAAATGAAATATGAAATAATATACAAATTCTAACTTACGTAGCATCCAACTGCGTAAATTGGGAGAGGGCGACTGAAGGCTAGGCTTATTTCGTATTTATTTCAAAGAGGTTTTAAATAATTTCTAAAAGATTATTTTGTAAACGTATAACAAAAGCTACAATGTCCGAAACGAACAAAGAAATATGAAATACTATACACAGTTTAACTTAACTTAGTATCCAACTGCCTCACAACGCCTCAAATTACGGTCAAGAAGCCAGAATTTTCAGAGTGGGCGATTAACTTTTGACACCCAATTACTCCAAAAAATACTCATAGTTTCTAAAAATTGAACAGTAACTTACTTGAAAATCTGGTTTGGTATAATCATTTCATTGAGAAAGAATTGTATCTTTATAATTACCGTTGTAGGAAGACGCCGAAAAAATTTGAATTTTTTCAATTGCCGAAATATCACGAATTTCATCCAACATGAGACCTGCACCATTTTCTTAAATGTCCTTCAGACTATCCACTATCCAAATTTCATCACAAACGATGGAACCATTTCTCAGAAAAAAATCTTTAAACAAAAATTAAAAATTACTTATATTTCTAATATTACGCAAAAATTCTCGAAAACTTGTACATAAACCTATTTCAAAATCTATCTTTAGGGAACATATTTAATTAAGGGGGAAATATCTAATAATTTAGTTATTAAATTTAGAAGAAAAATATTTTTTTAAATATTTTCCAATTTTCGAAAAATCTGTTTCAACCAACATGAGATCTGCGTCATTATCTTAAATGTTCTTCAGACTATCCAACAATATTCAATCAAAATACATGGTACCATTTTTTTTGAAAATGTCCCAGGCGCTTAATGTAAAGTACCCCCAAAATTAAAATATCGATTTCAAATTCAAAGTGCCGCGGCATCAGCCAGATCAATTAGGGAATATCAATTTTGGAGAAAATCTGCTGAATGATTTGGCCTCTAGCGTTGTTCACAGATAGACGTTTTGTCGTCAATTGATTTTTCGGTATCAGTGCCCCCTAAAATAGAGAATCTGGCTACACCACGTGTAAGAGATTTTTTCTAAATTTATCATCTGAATTTAGTCACTTTTTCATTTATCCACATAGGAATATTAATTTCTGCGAAGTTCTAGACACGGTTGGTTAAAAAAATTTAATACAAAATACTTTTTGTTCTGCTAGTGACTGATCGTTGCAATGTTGTACAAGTTGATACATTAACAATCTCTAATTTTAAAGACACAACATTATACGTTTCTCTATTTAAAAACTCTCTTAGTAAAAAATATTTTAGGTTCACACACTAAGATTCTTTTATTATTAGTCCAACACAGCGTTTCGACGATGTTGATGTCATCTTCAGGCACAAATATTGTTATTTTTTCAAAACTACACATCATTCACAATTTCATTCTCACATTATTAGTTTTAGCAGTATAGAAATATATTCTGTAGTCTACTTTCTTTTTCGTTATGACTAAATATTTGGTGCTCTATTAATATCACTCCTAACTGTTTTAACAAATTCGAAGTGATTGGCATAACGAAAAAAGGTACCTATTTATTACGCTCATTTCAACAACTCATAACTTCACTTATTTGCAGTTAAAACAGTCATTAAACAGGGTTCGAAATAAAAGTTCTCTTACACAAGCAAATTAAACTTTCCAAATCCCAACATGCCCGATTATATGGTGATCGATTATTGTATTCTAATCCTTGTTTCAATTACAAATAAATAAAATAAACATGGACTCTTGCTTGACCTTATAAAATAAGTCTAGACTAATAAAATGCAAATGATGTTACGTATTAAAATATTGGGAATAAAATACATGAAATGTTAAGCTGGAAAGTCCATAGGCGGAGTTGATTAATGTTCTTAGTGATGTAATATGTACATCGAAACCACAGGTTACACTAAATCAATAATAAACTTTGCAACTTGAGGCGCGTGAAAGAAAACGTAGGCCTCCCAAGAAATCCTGGCAAGGCCTGGCAGAAAGACGAATAGAAAGGAACTACAGAGCATGCGTTGCGGCCTGACCGCCAGTTGCGAAGGAACGCGCTTCATCGCGAAGTAATGCAGACTCGGGACGCACAGGGCGCCTACGGCAAAATCCGCAGGCTGGAGCTTAGGATCACTTAGCCGCTATTTCTGAGTGTACCATTCTTACTATTTAATTTACTGAGTAGTATATATTTCGTTCTGTAATAGTACTCGTTCATACGACACGATTTGGAGATATCGGGGGAAGAATGTTATGGCTACGATATGACCTAAAATTTCCAATGATGCAAATCAAAATGTAGATTAAAACGTGGGAAATATTCCAAATAAGGTATAAAATATACCCTAAAACAATTATTACGTTCTCGATGTCATCAATTTAATTGGAGAGGCATTCACTAAGAATGTCGAACGCCAAAATGTTGAAAATTGGCCATGTCAACATTTCTTGATTCAAGCATTTCGTTAATGATTCACAAGCTACCCTATTCACTCACGAGCGACTCTATACATGGTTCACGAGATACTACGATAAGATATCCTCTATTCGCAATAAGAGAAAGGAGGCGGACCGAGGCTGATAAAACAGGTGATAAAACAGGGCTGATAAAAGACAGATAGAAGACAGGGCTGATAAAACATCACGGCCAGCGAGGTCAGGGGCCAAGAAAAGGATCCCCGCCAACACTCGAAAAAGGTTCTGTTCATGTTCAACAATATATTAAAGGTATCTCATGGTAAAACATTATTTTACAAATTACTCGTCACGAGAATATTTAATAAAGCTTGTTCCTTATCATTGCTACAATAGAATGTGGGACAATTATTTCAAGAAACAACACACGAAACAAGACACGAATCTATGGAAGTAAGTACAAGTGATAGCTAAAGAAAAACTTGGAAACCCGATTACAGAAGTTGCATCATACAGACCAATAAGTCTTCAACCGGATTTATCAAAGGTCTTTGAGAAAATACTTCTACAACGGTTTAAACCAATAATAAATAATAATACCAGAGTTTCAATATGGATTTCGGGAAGGTCATTCAACGATAGATCACACACATAATAGTAAACAAATTATCTCAGTTTTGAAAAAAAGGAATATTAGTCTGCAGCTTTCTTGAACATACAACAAGCTTTTGACAGGCTTTGGCACTAAGGTCTGTGATTCAAAATTCATTCCAAACAGTTACTTCCACATTCATTCTATCCCTTTTCTGAATCATACCTATCTAGTCGATTTTTCAAAATTCAATACCAAGATGTTTTCTCTGAATTTAAACCAATGAGCGCAGGTGTGCCTCAAGTATCCGTGGGCCAATACTGTATGTAATATATACTTCTGACCTTCCAACAACAGAATGCACTATGATGGCCACATTCGCTGACGACACCGCTGTCGTAGAGGTCTGCCTACGAGGACTAAACTCGAACATCAAATCACCTACAAGCGCACCTGGACAAGTTAGAAGAATGGACGAATCAATGGAGAGTAACTATAAACGCAGCAAAATCACAACATATTACTATTTCACTTCGAAAGGAACAGTTCAAAAGTGAAACTAAACTCAGAACTCTCAGTAACAACTGTTGAGAGGTATCTAGACAGTCATTTAATCCCATATCATAAAAAAGAGGAATCACAAATGAAAGTAAACACATTATCATGGCTACTAAATGGAAGATCTAAGCGCTCCTTGTGCAACAAAATATTACTGT